GCGCGCGTCTGCGATCTTTTCATGCCAAGAACACAACACGCCGTATTCCATACGTCTTTCGCTTGTGTCCTGTGAGTTTCCAGCGGAAATAAGTATTAGAGTGCCGAAAATAACGATCCGTACTGTCGTCAGGACATATCGCAACTACATTATTACGGAGTAATCTCCTCCCTTCTCGACACATACTAGCTAAGGTGACCAGACGTCCCGATTTTTTATTCTTTGTCGTTGAATTTTTTCGAGTGCTGTTCGGGACATCAATTTGTTATTATTTTCAATGATTGTCAAATAATTTTCGGATCTTTTTATCCCCCGCTTTACACATTTATGAAGTGTCCCGAATTCAGGGCTGGAAAATCTGGTCACCTTACATAAATTTAATAAACAAATAAATCAATTCTTTTAATAAATTACATTAATTAATATATTATATATTATGAATCACAATGTAAGATAATCTATACTTATATCATACAAACTATATACATTAATCAGTCATATTTTTCATATTACATTTAATGAAATATATACTTATACAGCACAAATGTTTAATAGATATCCTAAGGACATTCTAAGAATATTCGAATATTCTATTAAACATTTATGTTGTATGGGAATGTATTTCATTAAATGTAATATGAAAAGTGATTAATGTATATAGTTTATATGATATAAATATAGATTATAAATTATCTTACATTGTGATTTATAATATATAATAATTAATGTAATTTATTAAAAGAATTAATTTATTTGTTTATTGAATTTATGTCAAGTACAAAATGGTCGATCTGATCACAATAAATATCTCTTCAATACTTAATATTTCCTGCTAGCTTATTTTTTTCATATCGTTTTCTAATATTTTGAACAATTGCATAATATATGAAAAATAATACAAATACTTGTACGTATAAAAAAATTAGTGCAAAAAATATGGATTTAAATCAAATGAGAACAATATGATTTGCAACGTGCAGAAATTACAAGTATGTATTTTTTATTCTTCGGGTACATACCGAATTTTCCTTTAGCGACTCGTAAATTTAGAACACTGCCATTTGAAGTCCGAACGATCACTATTACAACGAACGCGCGATACTTCTTGGTACTCCCAACAACCCGTTACGCAAGATATTCGCGTCCCGCACTTATTCAACGACAGACCGTCATTAAAAACGCGCAAAACTTTCGGCACTTCCGACGACAATTCACGCGCGAAACTCGCCTCCAGCAGATCTAAAGTGCAAACAGCGCAATTTGAACTTTTAGCTCCTATGATGCAGCAAACATACCACACTTTGCTCAACACTCAACTGCCCATCTCGCGAGATGTTCACATTTTAGCTACTATTTAACGATGCTTTGCTGTAAGAAACTTACTCCTGACGTAACTGTAGCTCACTTTCAACGAGTGGAAATCGCGGGAACCATTTGTCGAATCTGTGCTGCCACACCGCGGGCATCACAGAAATCGCTTATGCTTATCGACGCTATTGGCGTTATCGACACTATTAGTATTATCGACGCTATTGATATTATCGACATATTAAGATGCCCGTAAATCCATTCTCACGCACTGTTGACGTCTCGTTTCGCGGGATATTTACGATGATCTATTATCAAAAATGCAAGAAACTTGCTTTCGGTACTCTCGACGACAATTCGCGCACGAGACTAACCTTTATTGGACGTATAAACGCGACGTAAACTTCTACCCTCTACAGTACAATAGACGTTCGACAAATTCGTTAAAAGCCGCCGTGTTAAACGTACTTTCGACAAATTGAAATCGCGGGAAACAGTTTGTCGAGCCTGTGCTGTCGCGCCGCGAATGTTACATACCTGATTTGTACGTATCGACGCTACCGACATTCTCGATACTGCGTATTCAACGAATGAAACGAGAGTACTGGAGAGTTCCAACCTAACCGCCGCGACGTAAGGACGTGTACAAGCTTATTCGGACGTGATTGTGTTTTTTAGGATATGCTGCGTTATCCAGTGAGAAACGAAGATAGAATGACACTCACGGTTGACGAAAGTCGCGCAAGTAAATTCCTTAGATCCGATTTCACCAACGTCAATCAAGCCTTGAACCGTGTTTAAACTATTTGAAATAAAGACAAACTCAGATCGAGACCCAATCGACGTTGGTAGAATCGGACCTTAGATCGCCTCTATTGACTGATAAAACGCCATCTCAATAATATTCCTATAACTAGCTTGTGGACATCCTGAGTTGAAGCTGTTTTTAGATATGTTTTTTTTCAGCTACACTGCCACAGTAAGTTAGAGTAAGACAAATATAATTTATCTCACTTTAATTTATTACACCAATACAGCAGTATAGCTGAAAAGAATAGACCACTTGTTGGCTGAACTGGTGCTACACTGGAATTTTGTTTATTCTATCTTTCTTTGGAATATCAAGCGATTAAGATGATTTAAGCATAGAATAATATTTTTAATACGAAAGTGTGCGAAAGTGAACTTGATCTATGGCTGATATAGTCAGGTATAATATTTAAAACTGTCTTAAGTTATCTTCATATGTTGTACGAATCATTTCATTGACTACAAAATATATGAAGATAAACTTAAGACAGTTTTAAATATAAAATCTGATTATAAATACCACTTATTTCACTTTCTAAAGAGAAAAAGTGCATCCTAACCCCAACAAAAAAAAAACAGAACACAATAATATCAAAAAACACAAATATAATCTCATATTTTTAAAAATATATTTAAAAATTCAACACTTTCTTATCCATAAAACAAAGTTTCATAAAATAAAAACAATCACTGAACATTTTTCATAAAAAGTATTTTCTAACGTTAAAGGTAATATTTTGAAAGCTGTTGCCGTTAAAACCGATACCTGTTATATTGACTGAATTAAAACAATAAATGTGAATTTCAATATATGATAATAAATATATTAATTAATTTGCTCAAATAATAAATAATATATAATTTAAATATTTTATTATTATAGTACACATAATCATACTATACTGCTATAATCAGAAGAGCAATAATTAGAAAAGCGTAATTATACTATATTTTAATCCAGCAATATTAGCCTGGTTTACATCGTGCACTTGATACGTGTACTAAATAGTAACTTTCTATTAAATAATCTTAATATTGACAATGCATATCAACGACGACATTCAATCAATACGTCTTCTTGAAGAGTATTTCCATACAGCACAGATCTTGCAGCAACATTGCAGTAATATTGCGGCAACACTGCTGCAACTTTTAACATTGCTGCAACGTTGCAGCAATATTGCTGCAAGATCTGTGCTGTATGGGTTATACCAGCTTAATATACAGTTGTTTACATCGTTAATATTAAGATTACTTAATAGAAAATTTCTATTTAGTATACATATCAAGTGTAAACCAGGCCATTATGTAACACATATGTTACATAACAATTACATTGTTGAGTAGAAAATTACAACTAACAAATATGTAACATGCAACATTATGTTTGCTAGAAACATATGTATACATATACACATCTTACTCTTTGTCCACAACCTTGCTTTAATTCTTAAGCCGTAAAAAATTGACCAATCACAGTTGATTATTTTTAAAATAATCAACTGTGGTTAATCATTTATAAATTGTTTTCATCGTATCGATTCTGATTTTATTGTAAAGATTTTGATCTTTTAAATCTCATTCTACATAAAAAAATACGTTAAATAGAAACATTTTCACCAAAAACTCAGATAATATCTGAATTCATACCTTATAATATCTGAAAATAATATCTGAATTCCATACCTTTACCATCGGTTGTATATGTCACGATTTACTGGATGTTCTTTGGAGAATACGATGCAACCTGTGAGACACTGGTTCCAACAGCTGGTCTTCAATATAATCTCACCAATGGTAACGGATTCAGTTCGACATAGTACTTCATTTTAATGCATACGAGAGATACAGCTCTACAGAAACACAAAAATTTGATGTCGCTAAATCACCGGGTATTTCAATCGCCTAAAAGAAGTGAATTTCTATATGTACCCGTATTGTAAGCTCAATAGACAGATAGCACTCTACTTTACAAGTTCCATATTTTCAAAACTTCAAAACTACCTGGAGCCAATGAAAATTCTGCTCTAATTGGTCAGACTCCTTATAGTGATTCTAGTGCCTAACTCTGACCTCTCAGGGTGCGTTCAGATTCCCTACCCGGGTGCACTCTATCACTAGAAACACTATAGTATATGTTACATATACTATAGCACTTCTAGTATTAGAGTGCACCCGGGTAGGGAATCTGAACGTACCCTAAAATCAGGCTGGTAGCCGCTTTTAGGCCCGTTCTACAATACGTCGTATATCGGAGTCGGATGTCAGAACGCAATCAATGGTCCAATCAGGAGAACTCGTCTCGAAAAACAAATTCTTTGATTGGCCCATCGACTGCGTTCAACGTCCGACAGCGACATACGACGTACTGTAGAACAGGCCTTATAGCCGTAACACACTAGCGACTCGCGGCTGCGGCTGCGATTATGTCTCTTGGCCAGTCAGAAAGAAGCTGCTGGCTACTACCGCTTTTCTCATTAGTCAAGAGATATAATCGCAGCCGCAGTTGCGGGTCGCTAGTGTGATACGGCTATTAAAGTCGTTCTACATTAGTTGCAAGCCGATCGCAAGCAGACGCAATTTTTATGGCTCCTGCATACAGAACGCGGCAAGCATTATCGCGTCCTATGTGCAGGAGCCATTATTGCGACAGCCAATCAGAAGCATCAATAGTGCTATTGACGCTTCTGATTGGCTGTCGCAACAAGAATTGCGTCTGCTTGCAATCGGTTTGCAACTAATGTAGAACGATCTTTAGGCTTCTCTCTGCTTCAACTTAGGATGTTCACAAGCCAGTTATAGGAATATTATTGAGATGGCGCTTTATCAGTCAATAGAGGCGATCTAAGGGTTTACTTGCGCGACTCTCGTCAGCCGTGAGTGTCATTTTCTATCTTTGTTTCTCACTGAATGTTAAACAAAAACGGAATGTTCCTAGTCTATTTGTATTGTAATCTTTTGTCAAACTAAGCATTTTTACTATTTGATAAACATCAATATATTCCGGTATTGATCAATATATTCTAGTAATGATAGTTATCACGGTTTTAAATAATGCTTTGGTCCATGAGTAAGATTATATGTGTTGATCAAATCGCGACTTAACCTTGCCTCGTGTTCTTCCACGTTTTACTGTTGTTCTTAACCTCAACGATGGCTGATAATGACCAAGACACGGGAGACCGAAATGACGGCGATAATCAGAAGAGTGACAAAATGTTTACTCTGAAGAAGTGGAATGCCGTGGCTATGTGGAGCTGGGACGTAGAATGTGATACCTGTGCCATTTGCAGAGTCCAGGTTATGGGTGAGTCACATATTCATTAGAACATTCTTACTGATTTTTCTTTATTTCGTTCATAAAAGAAAAGAAATAAAAAGGAATCTCATTTTCTTACAATAAAAAGTATGTGCCAACGATGTCTATTTATAAGGTAAATCACAATTGCCATATTAAGGCACAGTAACAGCAAATTTATATTTATCTATTTTAACATCTTTGTAAACGTCTTATATACTATTTCATGCTAGTTTGAATACATTGTTTGTAGAGCAAAGAGATATAAAAAAGTATGACAAGAGATATTTTATATATCATTTTATTAGTCAAAAATACACAAAGTACATAGAAAACATCACAGCATTCATTATATTTATTACTTTGTTTACGTGGCAATAATATGATTGCTCTGAATAAATATCATCATATTGATATTATCAAATAGAAGTTGAATAAAAATCTTATGGCAATAAGATTTTTAATCATCCTAACTCTTTGAACATGGCAAAGTCATAGCATATATTAATTGAAGGAATGTTTAAATAGGGATTGAATTTCTAGGAGTTCTGTAATCACAAGAGATATATTTCATGTTCTGTGATGAAATTGTTTTGTATTTTCCATTGTAGTGTTATTATCATAAGGCCTCAGACTTTATAAGTAGTAGCATTTATGATTGCTTATATTCGTATACTATCCAGCAGCGTTATTTCAATTGCTAACAATCTCAATACAAAAGTAGCAAAAGGGAAAGGTACAAAATAGAAGCAGCAATTTTATGTAAATGTATCATTTTATATACTTTTATCTTAAATGTAACGAGACATAATAACTTACAAATTACATACAAACTTAACATGAGTATTAAATTATCAAAAATATTCCACCGTCTCTATTGTGATTTGGCAAATACCTTATAAATAAACGGTATCACCCCTATATGTAGCAACAACTAAGTGGAAAATAGCAGAAGTAAAGAAATACCGTGATTGGTCGTTGTACAAAAGAGAACATTATTATGTCTAACTTTTGTACAAAACAGGACGTCGAATAAGGCTTATTGCTTTATACGATATTAAATCGAGTCGTACATTAAACCGCAGGAATGATATTTTTGTTCGAATAGTATTTTTACAATTCTAAAATAAGACTTCGAGTACTACAAATAATGTCTATTATCATAACATTATTAAAATGAAAGAAAACTACAAGAAACGTTCTTATGCGAATGAGATTCTCTCTTAATGGAATTCTTCATATTTCATTTGAACACACAGTTACAAGCGCACTTTGGTCATCTTATATAAACAAATGTTCACAACGATTTGGACACTTGTAGTTTCTATCATTTCCGTCAGTTATCATTTATGATATGCTGAAATTTACATTACACTACGTTGACATGCTATAAGTGTACTCGGTCAAATGTAGCGAATTAGAGTAAAGCAAAATGATATGCTGAATTTATCTTTATCTCATCTGAATTCATAGTTTCAATCTATGCAAGGAATATAAATATTAAAGAGATATTACAAAGATTTTAGTTAATCTCATAAATTCCTGTTTCGTTAAATCTCTATAGATAAATTTCTTTTTGCTAGAGATAATTTTTCCTCAATATTATTTTTCTTTCACTTCAATTTTTCATAACTTTATTACGCATTAATATGCAATATATCGGGAGTTTTTTTTTAATTCTCTAATATTTTCATACGTAATTTATTTTGTAAATTCATTTTTTTAATAAATATATAAATAAATTTTTTATCAAGCTATACAAATTATTTTTTATTAATATTTTGATTCCATGCATTGAGATTCTTTAGCGAATTAGCGTCAATTGAATAATTTGATCGAGAACACTTTGTGACGCGGTTTGACCGCAAATTTTTTTAAACGAAGCAAACGTGACAATAAATGTTACATTCACTTCCGTGATCCTCTTCTTACGCTGATAATAGAACTTTATCTTAGTTACAACTACTATTTTTCTAACTCCTCGTTTTGAGGGAAGAATAAAAATATATATTTACTAACAACGCTCTATCACTCGATAATCGATATTAGGAAAATCGATTTAGCGTCGATTTTGTGACGTAAATACAGGATACTTATTAGTAGATCTAAACCTCTGGCTATATACAAATCAGTGGCTCTATCTTGAAAGGGACATGTGGGAACGCGATTGATCTTAAAGCTTATTGTCGCGCGGGAAATTCGCCTCTATTCGAAAGACCGATTTCTTAGTTAGTGTACACAGAAAAAACAACTTTGTTAGTGTAACTGAATTTTCTGTTACCTGAAAGTCAGATAAAAAATTCGGTTGCAAGAACAGAAAAATTCCTACTCAGCCAATTGCTCTCAGTCATTCTAATCGAATTTCAATGCAGCTGAATGTTCAGACAAATGCTTTCGGTCACAATAACAGAGATGTTACTTTTCACCAGTGAGTTTCACATCCGGTTCCCATTGCCCGAACTGAAATCTTCTTTTTTGTGTATATACATAAGTACATATAATACGCGTATTTTTCAAGTTACAAAATGCGAGTGTTCGCGCCACGAGAACGGCAATCGCATCGAATTCTTCTTTTCGTGAACGATTTCGCAACTCTCCCACGAGAAGAATCATCTTATCAACTGTATTTATATTCATAAGATGCAAGTTAAAAAGCGCAGATGCATTTCTCACAGCGCGGACGCGTCGGTGCGGCACTTTAGTACCTCCTCGCGTTGTCTCGTATTCAGTATTTTCCATTTACGATAGGGTTTTGGCAACACTATTCCTGCGAAACTACGGCGGCGTACAACGTTCACCTGAATATATTCTCTTAAACGCGGCACTTACGTCTCGATATTCCGCGCAAAACCACGCAGTACCACAGCCTCGTGCAGATCGCATTGTTTTGCATGCACTTTAAAAGAAGAACGCGCATTTTTCACATTTTTCACGCGTCCACCGACGACGCGTAGTAGTGGTTTTAACTTGAGGTAGACCCTGTAGAAGTGTCGAGTAATAAAAACAAGCACAACTATACATCTAGTCAACAGCTGATAGTCACGTATCGTGCCATTTTCCTAGCGGAAGAGCGGGACGCGTTTCCGTAATCGCAAATCTAATTAATTAACTTTAAAATTCATATTTAGATCGTATCTTCGAACTTGCAATTTAAATGCCTAATAAGACCGACACTATTATTAACTGTAATCCTCGCGTTATTTAAGTCACCAAAAGCAATTCACCGTTATTGAAGTGGCAAGTGAATGAAAACGATACTTCATATTTTCAGCATAAGATTATTGACTCGAATATACAATCGATTAATTTATAAAATTAGATTTTATTTTATTAAATTAATTTTTTCAAAATTAAAATTTTCCGAAGATTTTGAACTTTAAGCAGTTTATTTTTAAAAGTTTCTCAACTTTTCGAATGATCGCGCAGATTATTACAAAAGAATCGTAGTGTTATCCAATATTGCACATAAAACATCATTGCTAACATTGTTGATCAAGAATGATCTTTTCATTCATTCGCCTCTTCTCAATTCAACAGCTGAATAACCGAAATACGAGCGTTTATTTAAAAAAATGCCTTTCTTTATCTGTTCCCGTATATCACCTGGATCAAAAACGATTATTTCTAAATCGTTCTCGCCCAAATTCGTTATAATAAACAAGCCGCAACAAGAATAAATCGAACGAAGCGAAAAATAGAAAGAGCCGAAGGAGGAGAAAGAAAGAGAGAGCGAGCAGATACACTTCATCTTCATAAGACGGAAGAAGCATACTTTCGAACTTAACTTCACTTTAAGCAAAGGTTTTTCAGCAAGAAAACCTTTTCCTTAATGTGACACCGTGAGTCCCATTTTTTTCTTGCTCGGACAAACTTGCTCGTCAATAAAAATCGTGCCTGAGCGCCGACTCGATTCGGAAGCTAGCAGGCCATTGGCATCGGTTTCATGTTGGCGACTGCGCTCATTCTTCTAGTCGGCCCGTTAAACCTCTTCTCAATCTCCTCGAGTGACCTGCCGCGCGTCTCCGGCACGCTGACGATCACGAAAATGAAACCCACCACGACGATGGCGCCGAATAGCCAAAAAGTGCCGTGTGCGCCAATCACCGCTATGACGTCCTCGAAAGTCTTCGTCACGATGAAGGTACACATCCAATTAAAGCCGGTCGCGATACTGGCGGCCGAGCCGCGGATCTTGGCCGGCAAGATCTCGCCCATCATCAGCCAGGGAATAGGACCAAAGCCCATCGAAAAGCCTATCACGTACACAATCAGGCTGACCAGCGGCAGCCAGCCAAAGGCCGTCACGTCGACACCATACGACTTGACGTAGAAGAATCCTCCGAGAGAGAAGAGCGTCAAAGCCATCGACACGCCGCTTGCGTACAACAGCATCTTCCTGCCCAGCTTGTCGATCAAGAACGCAGCGATGAAGGTAGATATGAAGTTCACAATGCCAATGATTATAGTCGAGAGGTTCTCATCGACCGTGCTACCGGCGTCCTGAAAACGAGAAATTGTTCGTTAATTGTTGCCGCGCATGTCGATTTTTCCAAATTTAATTTATAAAGGAAACTTCTTTTATTCGAACAGACGTCCAATATTCTCATCTCACTTCGATTCTCATCTCAATGATTCGGTTAGCTCATCTTGATCAGTTATTAGGTTCAAAGTTATTTAGGATAAAGAATGAAGGATTATTTAACAGTTAGCGTCAGATCAATCGTTTAGCACGTACCTGGAAAATTTGCACCGTGTAGAATATCACCGCGTTGATGCCCGACATTTGTTGGAACAACATCAGCCCCAGGGAAACAAGCAGTGGTTTCAGGTTGTTGCTCTTCAGCAACTCCGAGATCGTTCCCTGAGAAGCGTTTCGTTCGCTCTCGACATGTAACTTCTCGATCATAGTCAGTTCGTCAGTTATATCGGTGTTCTTGCCGCGCAGCCATTGTAGAGATTTTCGAGACTTCTTCGTTTTTCCCTTAGAGATGTACCATCTCGGCGTTTCGGGGATCAGAAACATGAGAATCAGGAAGGGTATTGGTAGACTCGCGCCTACCAGCGCCAGGTTTCTCCAGTCCAGATACATGCCCAACGTGAAGCATATTAATATTCCTACATCACATGTGAAATATACACACTTATGAGTTTGGTATATCGCAATCTGAATAATTACATTGTAATTTTTTCTAATAATATACATTTCAGTTTCTCAGATATAAATAGCATAATTCAAAGCGAAATAATGAATCAAGGAGGAATGTTCCTCGATTACATGAAGGACACTCGCGAACACTCGCGTTCTTTTCAAATTTATCAAATAGGCATTTGGAGCTTATGTTTCACTTACCGGCATTACCAAAGGCGGTGGGCATCAAGCCAAGAGTACCGCGCACTTCTGTCTGTATCGTCTCGCCCAAGTACACAGGTAGCGATAAGGAAGCAACGCCCACGCTAAACCCGCATAATGCGCGTCCTACTAACACCATCGCGACGTTCTGTGCCAACGCGATTAAAAGCCATGCTGCAATAAACGAATCATTATGTCATTGTGTGTCTCAAGTGTACTACTTGTACGTACGTTAACATATTGGATGACTTCATGTGATATTAACTTATAATTGTTGTAAACGCGCCACTGTTTTGTAACTTACATCCGATAAATGGGAGCGCTGTGGCTAGTATCGTGTTTCTTCTTCCGAGATACTCGATGCATGGCCCTCCAGTAATTCCTCCGAAAAGTGCACTTAGGGGCATAAGTGACCCGATCCACATACCCTGTAACATTAGAATTTAGAATGCGATATTAATTTAGAGAATACGATCAGAGATATAAAAATAAGGTTTTCTTTCGAAAAAATTTGATAGATTATCGTCATTTTGATAGTCTACGTTAAATACCAATGCTAATAGAAAAATCAGCACGAATACACTTTTCTTTGGTTTGATCATCATGATTTTTATCGCGACATTTTGATAGTTTGCATTAATATCAATACTAAAACAAAAATTTCTTGAAACAAAAACAAAAATAATTGTACTGCCTCGAAATGTTAATACCCCGATAGTAAAATTGTTCGAGTGTAAAACACCTTCTGTACGAGATATGGTACTCAGTCAAGTATCCGTAGTTTTGTAGATGCAGTTGAAGGAAAAAGAGGGTGAGAAGAGTTAAGGTTGTCATATATCACGTGGTGTGCGTCGGTAGCCTTCAACCGCTTTATATTCATCTTTTGAATTACTATCGAGTACATCTTGGTACTCCTGACATAGTTTCGTTCATCGGGAGATCCTTCGAATACAAATAAGGCCAGGAAGCCGGAGAATGTCAAGGAAAACAATTGCGAAACGCGACCATCGATCATTTTGGTTGCTCATTCAGTTAGTTGTGCCGTGGGTTTTAATCAAGTCGCCGTAGAAAGGAATTACGAAATCCTTACTTCGCGTTTAATTAAATATTAAGTGTAGAGTAATTGTTGCAGTGTATAGAGTAACCGATATAAATGATCTTAACGTATCGAGAAAGAAAATTTATAAATTGCAATTGAACACAATAACATACGCACACACGCGTGCGCATATATCTAAGTTATGCAACACTTGTCTTGACTTTATTTAAGACTCGAGTGCGCGCACGCGGAAGCATATTGTTCACGCTCGCGCACATATCTGGAATCAATTTCCGACATCGTCACGGGGCTTTACGACAAAGTCGGCGTGTCCGGCGGATTGGCCAATCGCCTTTGCGACCACCGAGGCGCAACGGCTCCTTAACCAATAAGATTGTAATCAGGTCATCGTGCCCCTGACCACGCATCAATGACGCACTTGAGGTTAAACCTTTTAATCATCCATTGACCCCTCGAATAACGAAGGTCGTACCTTTCCATACGTTCGTGAGGATCGCGATAATTTATAAGTGACGCATTATGCCACTTGTTACTCGCCTTGCTTTTAACTTCCACTCTGAACCGATCTATGATATACGTCAGGTCGTTCGTCATTAAACAATTCCTTCGAACTTTCGTACTCGACCTCGCAAACCGAACGGGCGCGTTTTTATGCCGGTACTTTTAGTAAAGATACAAAGTGTCTGTAGTACGCGAGTACGCTCGAGCACTTACGCTACAGGAGGAATCCATATAATTGGCAGGTTCTCAAACAAACGTGCGTGGAGCGCGAATCTCGTAATCTTTGTGTTTTGCACTCAACAGGATCGGATTCTCGCCTTTTTGTTTCACGGTCAGACACAATCGAGATGCATTATCCAAGCACGTTTGTGGAAATTTTGCCGGATAATACGTCTATGTAGTCTTTGTATTTTTAGCAAGTTCGCAATGTTATTAATAACGTGTGACTGAGGCATTCTGTTAATTTCCATTGAGGGAAAATTTAGCCAAAGTTCGAGCAAGACAAATGGCGGTAAGACGTATAATTGTTAACAATTAATACGTGACTCATAAACGGTAGTGTTATTGCGATTTTCGCTAATAGATTTCGATTTTTGCGAGTCAACGCACGCGAAATGAATGACGAAAATGTCAATAATCGTACTTACCATTTGCTTGCTAACTTCGAAGCTCGCTGTACTATTATCGCGCATGGATACCAGTCCCGGTGATGTGTAGGAGCTCGAATAGCCAATTACCATTGAACCTAATGATACCGATAATGCAGCCAGTACCTGAAAGTAAATTACAGATAAAATTAAATTACAGATAATACGTTAAAATTTATGTGAAAACTTGAGCGAATTTTTATCTCTCAAGTAAAATTTTTTCGGTTCACACAAATTATACTTCGCGTTTGTGCTCTTCTCTTCGAATTTGATAAAGAGCACGATCTATGAAAAATTATATTGCAATTTTTATCGCGTATATTCACTTAATACATAAATTATTGAATACAATTCTTTCTCGTAATCGTACATGAAGAAACTATTATAGCCTTTTCTCATATAAACTCTTGTCAATTTTACTAGATTTTCTGATAGTTTAGGCTGATAAACTATCAGTAGAGTTTATCTTTTTAAAGAACATAAATAAATTCTCACACACATTTCAGTTTCTAAATTATAAATAATACATCTAAAACAGAAGGATAATTCAAGGTATGAAGAATGTCAATATGTTCCTCAGTTACAAAATTCTTTAGTAATTGTTACTATAAAATTCTCTCTTCTCGTATACTATTGCTATTTATTATTTATACGCAATCTATCGGAGTACTCGAAGAGCCGAGTCCAACACAGTGATTTAATCGATATCCAATCAATTGTGCGATTTGCGTCATTCAAGGCGCACCGAAAAAGCTTGCTATGATTTGTATCATGTGGAAAATCAAATGTGGAGTGCAAGTAAACGATAACGTTTATCGTCCGATTATTCTTCAAAAACTCGAAACGCGAAAACGTATAAAATCCAAAAACTATCATGCCGCATCATTTTATATTGCATTTTATTTTATAACCTTTTCTTAAAGATTTAAGCACTAAGATGTAATACATATATCGTCGTAAAAAGTATATCATTCGTTCAAAGAACTTATTAATTTAAGTCGAGATATGCTACCTGAGTAAACGTGCATCTAGCTGCCGGTGCGTTTACCGGCAGCTCAATGTTAACGTGGGTGTCCGCCCGTAAAAGAATCTTCATGATCACGTATTGATCAACTGGGACGAGTCAGAAATTTCTGATTGATTGGCAGAGCAGAAACAGTTCCAACTTGACCTTTCTAGGGCTGATCTCTTCAGAATAAGAGTTCCGCTTTTGCGTGTAACGAATATCAAAGATCGCGACTTCGATATCGATTTAATCGAATCGACGATCTGGGCCACGCACTGTCGCGAGTAGAAGTTTTCGCGGTGTTCGCGATAGAACCATAAACTATTGACACTCATGGACCGCGCCGGGTGGTTCTGTTCTTATATAGAGAACGATGCTGGGGGCCGGCTCTCCCTTCCCTCATTCCTTCCCCTCGCAAACCACGTCGATTCATCCTTCGTAGATTATTATGACGATTGTATACTGATGTATGATGATCTTACATACGTCTTCAACTTATTTGTGCCTTCGCGAAGAGATATGCAGAGCATATACTCTCATCCTGGAAAGGGCATCTTTTGCACGGCAATTATATTATATATCTGAAGCAATTTCGGAGCTCGAGGCAGAGAGGAAAAAGACAGAGAAAGACAAAAATGTCTCACGAATTTAATGCGAGTTAAAATTTTGATATTGCCGAAAGAATTTCCCGTTTCGACGATATTATCCTGTACTCAGAAATTCTTTAATACTATCTTGAGAAATGTACATGAAGAGAATTTTATAGTAAAAATTGCTGTAAAATTTTGTGAAAGAAAATATTGACATTTTCTGCAGTAATTCACTATTCTTTCATCTCATATGTACTACTTGTATCTTAGAAACTGAAATATGCTATTAAAAAAATTTACTATATTTGTAGAGCAAAGTTTACTGTGTTCCTTAACAAGATAAAAAACTACTAAAAACACGTAGTAAAATTGCAAAGAATTTATATAAAAAGAAAAAAAATACTTTCTTCATGTATGATGAAGATCAAAGGATTGTAAGAATATCCAGACGTTTAACGTCAAATGGTGTGTGACGATTCAAGATATCTAGAAAAATAATATAATAACTATGGACGTGCAACATCGTGTTAGACATGGTAGAATCAATGTACACACATAACTGTTTACGTACCGTACATACATTCTCGTATCAATAAAATCTCGTCTACTTCGTTGTTCTCTCAATCATTTAGTACGACAACAAACGCTTTTTTGCGTACACATCTATCGATTCTTTAATGAATATCAGAACTACATTACTCGTTAATCCATTTCTTGTGCAAATTTTAATTATTTATTTATTTATTTTTTTAATATTGTTTATGTGACAAGATTAATGCTTTTAATGCTTCCTATGAAGATCCTCGTAAATAGATATAAACTAGCATCGTTAAAAGTATTAATGGTGAAAAGCTCGGAAAATATTCCGAGCTATCTCTTTCTCTCTCTTTTCTCCCCTCCCAAACACATTCTTTTTTATTCTAAATGCACCGATTTATTAGCTACGTACATAACATGCAATAGTCGTTTAGATTAATATGAATTTTTTAGCAATTTTACGTAACTTCTCGAAACCGGACATTTAATAAAAACAAATTTGTATTTATTTTAGATTCATATCTTCCGCGGGCACACAAGTCAAACGCCATAATCTTTCTCTTTCCCTGTCTCTCTTTCATTTAAATGTGTAAGTTATTTTTCATTCATGCAATCCCATTCATGCAATACTTTACATACGATATCAAACGCGTCTTATCGCGTGACTTCGATTATTCGGGCAATTAACATCGATACGCAATATTCGCACATTGATCGTAGCTCATTAAGTCGTCTCAATAAAAGAACCCGATGAATGGCGAGGTAATAACCACACTTGCTTTTTTAATGTCAGACGCAAGCGCGATTGTTTGCGTTTAATAACAATAGATGATTCTCGGGTGGCCGGATGTTCATCATTTCGTGGCGTCGAACATTATTTCACCGAGATAAATTTAGTCGTCCAACACTTACTCGTCATTGCGACGCGTCATTTTATATTTTCTCGAAATAAAACAAAGTTGATTTTATCTTTTTTTTCATGTTTTGATTATGATACGATAGGGCAAGCGTTTACATACCGATTATCATGCTCACACATACGATGCAATCGAAAAGTTCTGGCGACGCTTATGGAATCATCGGCCATGAACGTCTAATGAATGGTAGGTAAAATACAGAAAAAAGTGCAGTCTGTGGCGTTATGTAAGACCGCGATATTCGTTATAGGGTTGCGTCTGTTCTCCGTTCTATATCTGTTTTGCATTCGTGCAATTATTTCTGTCTTTATCCTCTCGATCGCGTAATACGCGCGCAGACGGCGCGCAATGATTAAAACGGGCGCATTGATAGAGTAGAATTGCTCGTTTAATACGAGAATATTGTTTCCTTGACTCGCGAGTGATTCAAAATTTACTTGAATATTTTATCTTAACATTATCAATTGAAGCATTAATATTTTTACTGCAGAAAGGTCATATTTTTCGACGTGAAATAAATTTTCTTGTCAAAAATATTTTATACGTAATTAAATCGAACAGAGTTCGCGATATGAGAATTATTCTATATTCTATAAAGATATATCGCGTATTATTGCGATATTGCAATATGAGCTCCGTGAATCGCTGAATGAAGAGTGATGAATCAACGTGGCGGACCATACGCTATGATCATTCTACTGTAGGATTCACGCATCCTGAAGTGGTCTGACCACATGCGGAGTCATTTCACTCCCAAATGTTATCTTTAATAGAAAGTGGAAGATGATTCTCAAACAATTACCATACATAGAAAATAAAGATTTAGAAAATAAAGAATATATATATTAGCAAATCTTTTAGCTATTACAACTAAATAACTTTTACTATGAAAGCAAGAAAATTTACTCCTGCAGTTAATATTTTTAGTTGTCCATATATTAGCAAATCTTTTTTTCCGTGTAGTAATTCTTATGATATATGATATTCATAAAAAAAGATACATATGTATACATTCTAATGTGTACAAAAACTTACTTGGGTGGCATAGCGCATTTTAGATGGTTTATCGCTCTTCTGGAACTCCGTGGACGGTAGGCGGATAGACACGTCCTGCGTGTCTTTCGGTGGTTTCATATCCTGGGGATCCATGAGGATATCGGTACTCGGGCTCTGCTCGACAGACAGTAAAGGATCGAGCTGTTTGTAATCGTCTTGACCTTTATCCAATGGATCATAGATCCGTGACCCGTTCAGGGTCCTTTGAGTATTATTCCTCAGATTTTCAGCATAGTAGTGGTTCGATTCCTTGCTGGTGTCGCCGGAAAAGTATTTCTTTTCGGCGATGAGGGCTGTTTGGCTGTTGAAAGGACTGGCGTTCGTCACTAGAGTAGTGTTCGACGAACAGTCCAGTGCGGACCCCGAGCTGGAGGGCAAAGGTCTGATGACTGGGGACACCCTCGTGTAGTATTTGGGCAAAACGCTGCGCTCCTAAAACACAAAATTAGTATTCGTTAAATAAATTTCACCTTTGGAATCAATAAAAATGACGGCAATTTTCAAATCCCATCCCATATAGGGCCGATGTTCGGCAATGTTATTAACGCTACGGCAATCAACTGTTTACCAAAGTTCTGTAAACCAGTACTGAATCAGTACTGATAAATGATTAGTTACCTACGTATATGGGATAATCCGGCGTTATAACGAAAACTAATGCTTAGCCGACGTATAGTCGCCGACTACGGTAACCAGTAATAAGTCAATACTGATAAGCCAATGCTGGCTGACTACCTATTTTTACAAATTCGACGTTACAACAAAGGTCAACGTTTGCCCAACGTATGACCGCCGACTGTTAGCCATAATTTTGATTACCAGTAGGGAGCCAGCCCTGGCAAATGACTGAGTGCCCATCTTTAGAAGACAGTTCGGCGTTATAACGAAGACAAATGTTTAGTCGGCGTATAGCTACAAATTGTCGATCAAAACCCTTTCAACAAATACTAGGACATCACTGACTACTTGTCAATTTATGTAGACAAGTATATATTAGGACCTTAACTTAGTTTCCGCCCAAAAAATACTGAGAAAAAGCATTTATTGTAAAAAATGTATTTAAATTATTTCAATGAAAGTATTTTCCATCACTTTCTACAACTTTTTGCCATCTTTCTGGCAACTGGGCGATACCATCTCGATAAAACGATGTTTGTTTCGAAGCAATCCATTCGTCCACCCATTCTCGCACTTCTTCAACATTTCGGAAGCGTGT